TGAGCCCTATTTTGAGCCCTATTTTGAGCCCTATTTTGAGCCCTATTTTGAGCCCTATGGTAAGTGGCCACCCCTACAGACCGGACAGGACTGGTTGCCAGAATGGCACAAGAGGGCCCTCATATTTTAGGTTGCCCCGGTGCCTCCCCGGGAGGAACAGCTTCAGCACCGGAGTTGTTTCATTGAAAAAAAAAAAAAAAGAAAAAAAAAAAAAGAAAAAAAGAAAAAAGAAAAAAAGATTAGGAGCTTAGACAAGAGGTGACTGAAGAAATGTGGACAGCAGCTAGCAGCAAAGATCGTAAACCACCAGTACTTCCTCGAGTCGTGGCCCCCGGTAACGCGCCACGATCTTAGGAAACGTACGGGCCACTACAGGAGCGCCCAAATTCATCCGACTAGAAACGTTTCTACTCTTTTTTTTTTTTCCGCGGCCGATAGCTGGGCCGAGTACTGGTGGTTTAAGCTTCGCTCATCCTCCTTGCAGGGAACACTATCTACACACTCATGGTGAGAGATGCTACATACACCTGGCAAGAAGAAGCGCCCCGTTCGAGGGGTGAAGAGGCACTTCTATCTCCACAGCCTTTCTAACGGCTCTCAGTTAATCCCCCTGGGTAACCTGGGGTAATCAATGCTGGCGGAATGATCTCGTGCTAAAAATGGGAAAAAAAAAAAAAGAGGTGGGCAGATGGGTTGATATCTGTTATCTCTGTCCTGGCGAATCCAGCATCCTCATGAAGGATGAAAGAGGCAGACGGTTTTGTTTTTTCTCCCCCGTCTCCCAAGTGCCTTTTCTCAGATAGTACCCTGCTCAGTCAATCCCTTTGCATCCAGGGTCTAATCAATGCTTGCCGGGGAAGGCTTTTCCAAATGTACCCTGCTTGCGGGGGAAGGCTTTTCCAAATGAACCCTGCTTGCGGGGGAAGGCTTTTCCAAATGTTCTCAACTTCTCACTATGTTGTACATTTCAAATGGGACGCTGTGCCCCGTTCCCTCCCCGTGCTGCTCCCCACGAATCAGAGTCCATTATTAAAAAAAAAAAAAAAAAAAAAAAAAAAAGATGAGCAGCCGTTGCAGGGTTGAGTTGAGGAGCAGCCTCTGCCTACGGTAAATGGCCACCCCTACAGACCGGACAGGACCCGTTCAGTTGTAGACTGTGGAAGCACGGCATACAATTCTTGCAGTTGCAGTTGCAGTTGCAGTTGCAGTTGCTGCATGGGATGGCATGTCATAGACAGACCTCACAGGCTATCTGGTCCCTAGTACTCCCTACATGCTAGGAACACAGAGGCTCACCAACCACAGTAACTGTTGTATTGGCATTGCGGTTCCAGCCCCTGTCCAAAACTTGGACATGACATGTCAGGGTGGTGTACAAGAGTGCAACGTTGACTGTCATCATAATCAGGAGGATTATGAAAACAAAAAGCGTGCACGAGGTATGCGTTTATAATCCTCACAACACAAAGCATGCGAATTGCATGCTGGCCGATCTTCAGGGGGATCATCACAGAGTGGCATTGAGCAAGTTTCTTGGGTTTCCTTGGTCAATATTCCCTGGTGTCGATGACCTTTCAGTAGAGCGCACTGCGAGGCAGGCGACGACAGGGGCTGATCCAGAGTAAGGGTGTTTAGCTGTTGCAAGATTTGGTGTGCGAGTCAGTGCGACAGCTCACCCTGGTGGCGATAACCTTTCATTACAGGGCACTGTATGTGGTTCATGTGAGGGTCTATTTTCCACCTCAGCCTGTTGTTCGTCTGGCAAGGATGAAGGAGATCTGACTGCGGTTGCAGCAGGTTGCATGAGGGAAATGCTACAAGAGGATATGGTGGGTGATGGCGTCAGGGATAGTCCACGCAGTAGACACACGTGCTTTCAATGACGGCTTCCGGGAAACATTGACGGCACATGGCATGCTGCTGACATGCCAGCAGGAAAGCAGACTGGCGTTCACAGTTACTTGAGCATCGCATGCCAAAGCCACAACGACATATCGGGCCACACGGGGGGGTGGAGGGGATGAGTGCAAGACGACGGGTTGCAGTTTTCGAGGCAGATGCCTGCTTGTGACCATCCCTTCATTATAGTGTTTGGAGCGGCAATTATGTCGTGTGCATACTAACTGAACTGTAGCTGTGTGGAGACACAATGGCATGGCACGACCACCGTCTCCTGGAGGCGCAAGAGTCTGTCTTATCTACACAGGGAAGGGACGCTGTCTGGCCATGTTTAGGGGAGGGGGAACCTGGGGACGGTTCAACTGGATTTTCCTCCTGAGGCTGTAGAGCTTGCGAGTGCACAGCCACGTATTGTTCCTGATTGACGAGCCGGACCGAGTGGGATTCTGTCAGTCGGTGATAGAAAGAGTCGATATTTTCCACCGTGTGTGCACCCTACCACCATTGTCCCATGAGGTCTGTGAACTTTCTGCCAAGGTAACGGCACTGAAATGACCCGGACAATGCAGGATGTTCGGATGTACACACAAATGTTCGGCTCGACGTCTGGCATGTAATTCTGTGGAGGGGGCTGGAGTGGCAGTCGTCTTCCCATAATGCCATACACAGGACTCCTATGTTTATGCCAGGTGCAGTACTGTCATCCTCCGGGCGGCGGGCGCAACATGGTGCTCTTCTCCTATCCAGCGGACAATGTCTGCGAAATCAGAAACAACAGGGGTTGCAATTGTAAGCGAGGAGCACCAGTGGCCTTCCACCCTTTACCTGACCTGGCCACAGGCTAGGAAGGGGGTTATAGTTTTAATATGGGACGCTGGACCCATTTTCCAGCACAGTGGTGTCTCTTTTAAGTGTAAAGATGTATTCAAGGGACGCTGGACCCGGTTTCCAGCAGGTGATGCTCCCCACCAATAGATGGAGCTGTTTGTTAAAAAAAAAAAAAAAAGCAATTGTAACTTGTAAGCGAGGAGACGCACACTTTAATGGCATAATATACATACAGTGGATTTGCTGTAGCACTGTGAGCTCATTTGATTCTGCAGATTGCACGGCAGGGGGAGGTTCAGTTAATTCTGCAGATTGCACGGTAGGGGGAGGTTCATTCCGGTCTTGACAGTTTCTTCCCGGTTCCTTTGGCTATATTAACTCCATTGACTTAGCATGCGTTCTGGAGAGAGATCATCTCCAGCTGGGGGCTCCATCAATGATCGGAGGGTGGATTGTTGTCTGTTGGAGCAAGGGAGCGCAATCGAGCAGGTGGATTAGAAGTGGGTGAGTCAGATGCAAAAGTGCAAACTCATCAGCCGCACTCGAACTAAGAGTGGCTGCTAGTCCCAAAAAAAAAAAAAAAAAAAAAAAAACCCTCAGAGTGGCTGCTAGTCCTGCAAATGGTAAACCTTGTTCTTCCTATTTTTTTCTGAATTCCTTCAATAGTCCTTAGAGATAGTTCTTAGATTGTTCTCAGTTGAAGCCGCGGGTAATAGCCCCGGTATTTCAAATGACATGTACAATTCTATATGGGACGCTGGGCCTGGTTCCCAGCCCAAAAAAAAAAAAAAAAAAAAAAAAAAAAGCTGCACAAGTGGCTGCACCTCGTGTCGAATGCACATTGTAGACATCAGACTCGGTATGTACTATTCCTGGCTAGTGTGTATGAGGAGCGACGACGTCGTTTCATACAGTTGTAAGCATGCGGTTGGAGCAGATCGTTTTTTTATCCCCTCTGGGGGTGCGATGACCAAGGTGTTCATGAACAAAGGAGGCCACTGTCTAGGAGGCGGCGGTGGAGATGGAGAACGTCTTTGAACGTCTTTGCCGAAGACGCCTCTGTGACAGCCGCTTTGACCATGAAGGTCTCTGTTGATGAGGCCTCTGTGATGGCTGATCTCACCGTGAACGTATTGATGATGAGGACGACGACGAAAGGGAGGCATGCCACGGGAAGGAGGAGTAGGAGGAGGAGGAGGACAAAAAGAGGAAGGAGAGGAGGAAGTTGATGGAGAGGATAATGTAGTAGAAGATGTAGGTCGGGGAGCTGGTGGTGATGGTGGTGGTGGTGGTGGTGATGATGGTGGTGGTGGCGGTGGAGGCACACTTTCAGCAGTAGCCGCATTGGTAGGGTGCAGGTCATCATCCTGTGCAGCCAATTGGACAACTTTCAGCAGGCCTGGTTTCCAGCTGAGTTGCAGGCCTACCGTCTTCACCCCCGAACATGACGCACCCTGAAAATGAACGTATACAAGGTATGTTTCCGGCCCGATACAGGCAAAATGGAGGTGCGTTGTGTTCGGGGGAAGACGGTAGTTTCTAGCTAAATTGCAACATCCACATTAGTAGCTGTCGTGTACTCTTAAGTTCAGTACGTATAAGGGACGCTGGACCCGGTTTCCAGCAGGTGATTCCTCACCAATAGATGGAGCCTCTCCCCAGGTGCTAGTGGTGTCTGCTCTTATCAGCACCACTAACACTAGTGGGGGAGAAAAAAAGCTGTCATTCCTGTAGGAATAACAGGGGAGGGCTGGTCCACTGCGTAGTACTGTGTGGAGTGCTGATGCCTGCCTGTAGTCAGCATTGGCGCTCGGCAGTGGGTGGGGGCCGACCGCGTGTGACTATATAGAGGGTTGATGCTGCCCGTGACTCCGCGACCAAAATTAGCAACCGGTAGTGGGTGAGCGATTGACCAGCGCACTGGGGCGAAACTTGTTTGTAAGATGGATGACATAAGTGCGTAGCCGAGGCCGGCCGTGCACAATGCACATATGCAGTCCAACCTCTGGCCAGGACATTGGGAGGCCTAACAAACATACGTCTTGTTAGGGAAATCACTCCAACTATGAAGCTGTTACAAATATGCTTCAACCTCGTTGATTGTCCCATGAGCACATCTGCGGGCCGATGAGCTGGGGCAATGGAGGAAGCACTAGGATAACATATAACAAGGAATGTCCAAGCCTCGGCCTTATCAAACACAGCAGTGCGAAGTAAGTTGTCTGGCTGAGTCTGGATTCTTGCCCCGACATGACCCATCCTGCTTAGTAGTGTCTTTCCAGTGTTTCCACTCAATACCATACCGATCAGGAGGTGGCAGAGATTTCCTCCAAGAGAGGATGTCATCAATGAACCGGTATGTTAATGCATACATCTCTCTCTTTTTTTTTTTTTTTTTTTTTTTTTTTTT